CCTTCCTATCTGCTTGTCCATCCGATTGGATAAGTGAGCAACCCAACTCATCGTGACGTCAGGTGTCATGAATTGGGGTGGTAAGCCAACGGATCTATTTCATTGATAAGATAACTCAAACTCAATATAAATAATATTCATACATATTTGTGTGACAATTTCACAATATAATATTATTCTTTCTAAAAAACTATTTTAGTAAATACTTTATATTATTAAATTTGATGATAAGTAGACCAGATGCTATTCAAATTATTTTATTATAATAGATTTATACCTAAATTCTAGTCTCTTGGGGTGTGAGAATTGCGTCCAAGTTGTTAGGATTATGTTAAAAATTTGAGCCTCCTGAGATTAGTACAGATTCTCCTTCTTATTTGTATTTATGGTCATGGCATATATGAGCATGGTGTATGAGAGGTTACTCATAGGGCCCGTTTGGGGTAACTTATTTGGTCCGATGACATTTTGAAACACACATTTACTGTTTGGGTAAACTGCATTTTTTTGAGAACCCTAAAAACAACGTTTTCACACCGCACCTATGTAAGTGTCATGACAGATTTTAAGCAGCGGTCTAGCTTTTCCAAAAAAATAAAATTTGTAATAGCCACCGCACGTAGCTTAACCGCACGCGTAGCTTATCAGCAGATTATTCAATAAGATGCAGCTGCCCTAAAGAGAGCCTCAGCCTTTGGGACATCTTCTAACAAGCCTACATGTGAATCATCTCAAGCGCATGTCTTTAGAAAAAAAACAGTATGTGCAGCCTCTCCTTCTTAGCTTGTTTGCGCCAGATAAATTTTCTTCGGATATGGCACATTGTCTTCAAGTATGCCATCCACCCATTGCATGTTACAACTCTCTTTTTTTTTTTTTTTTTAAGCCTCCTTATTTAGATGCCTGTGTATTGATATGTCTTTTTGCAAGTTTAATTTTCTACATTTTTATATTTATTTATGAATTAAATTGCACTTTAAAGAAAAATATTTTCATATTTTTGGTGCAGGCATTATAGGTAAAGTAATTGGAGCGAACTGAAGTGAAAAAGGAGCGAAACGAAGCAATAGAATTTCCAGCGAAGTATTGTATGTTTTGATTGCATTGTAATCCAGTATTTATATAAACTCTAAGTTAGATTCTCATTTTAAGAAAGATAAACACATTTACTCATATGCGAGAACAATCGAGTAAGGAAATGAACATGGTGGGGAAATAAAAATTACATGGTAACTAAAACTAAATGCTATATAAATAAAAAAGATAAAAACACAACATATATTTATTAAAAATCAAGTAATTTAAGAAGAGTTGTATGGATCTAATACTAATATGAATTACATCAAGTTGTCAGTGAGTTGCCATGAAAATTCTATTTGTAGGTATAGTACCGTGCACTTAATTTAAATAATTACTAAATTATTAAAAATCACTAAAATTCTTAATCTGTAATATTTCCTAATTTATATTAAATTGCAGTCTTCTTCGGTGAAATTACTTGAGGGCAAATAATGTATAGGATTAGGAGATTTGATGTGTGTGAATTATATAATAAAAAAGATTTAAATTTTCTTATATATATATTTTTTTCTATTATTCATTCAAATTTATATTTTTCTAGGTGTTTTTGTCAAATTGTGGGATACATGTACTTTTGAAAGCCTTAAACATATATGAGCAAACATTTGAGCCAAATAGAAGGAAGCCATTTTAGGCACGAGTTCAACGGAGCCATCAAGCTAAAAAATGTCAATTTGTCTTGAGTGGCGCCTAGGTACCGCCCATGCACCCCAACAAACGAGAACACAGCGCCAACACGCCAGAGTATGAGGTCCCTAGGCACCTGGACCTCATTCTACTCGAACTTATTTTCTTATTATTATTTGGGTTCAAATCGAGTCAGCATATCATAATTCTTGACACATCCGTCCATGATTGTATTTCATAATTTATTTCTTCTATTCCATCTACTTAACAATTATCTTTATCCCTGATATTAATCCAACATTATTAGCTGTCTATCTATTATTTTTCCTTGCTTTTAGTTCCCAAAGGATATTATGCACGTGTTGAATTCTATTGTTGAAAAGAGAATCAAATGTTAAGTTTTAGGCCAAATTGAACTTTACATGACTGCAAAAAGTGTCAACAAAGATAACGTTTAGGTATTCATTTTATATTTCTAGAGGATTATTATGGGAAAATAAAGATATTTTTAGCATATTATGAGTACTGATTTTTTTTTTTCTTTTGCTAAAAGCAACAATATTTATTCATAGCAATCATATTCAATAGATTTGGATATAGAAATTATTTCTCATAATACAAATTTCTGAAAAATAATAAAAACTTATAATTAAACAAGTCATAGTTGCTGTGAAAAGTAAAATAGTAAAAAATTAAAAATAAAGAAAAAACATAAAAAAATAGACCCAAACAGCTAATAAATTAATTAGAAGTCTTGCACATTTGTATATTCACATAATTAATGCATATTTCAACCACTTTTTACTACATTTGATTTGACAGGGCTTTGAGTTGCAGATAGCAGAACGGAAATAACACCTCAAGTAGAACTGTGATGGTGGTCTCAAACATAGAATGGATAGAAAATTGTTAAAAATAGACCATTTGTGTTAAGTTTAGATGCAAAAGACATTTATAAGTAAGATTAGAATTTAGTTTCTTAAAAAATTTTAATGATATTGAAGTGTTCATATTTTAATGATATTGACATGAATGCACTTATTTATCGTTTTTACCGTGCCTTTTTGTATGTTAATATTTTGTTTTTGGAAGGTATTTTGTATTGAAATGCAGGAAACAAGTAAAGCGAGCAATCTAAGTTCATAAAATGGCAATTGGAGCAAATTAAAGTTATGGCGCCTAGGCGTTGGGACTTGGCTCCATCACTGGCTTTATGAAACACTATTAAAGAGCAGTCAAAAACTCAACGTTGGACTTGTAGCAATGGAGCGTTGGACTTGGAGCAGTGAGGCGCTATCTTGCAACACCTAGGAGTCAGATTTTGTGAGAAAAACACAGAGCACACTGAAAACCAATGCTGAAGATTTGGCGCTAGAATGATTGCACCTAGGAGCCGCGACAACAGCGCCTAAGTGTTATAAAATAGGAGAATGAAGCGTTGTGGCGCTACTTATGGGTGATCCTATGCAGGTACCCAAAAATTAGTGGTTATGACAGTTTGATGCTTCAAATTACTTGGGAATGTATAAATTGGATGAGCACCATAATAGGGGGGTTTTTTCACTAATTGTTTTCATCATTTTCTTGAGAGAGGAATAAGGTGATTAGATTGGGAGTTTACAGCCACCTGGATCACCATTCCTTCTTATTTCTACTCGCCTTATGTACCTCTTAAAACTTTTTAATGAAAAGTGAGTAGATCTTCTTATTTCTCCCTTGAATTGTGTGATGGTAGAATAAAGTTGAATCTTTTTATGGGGTTTCATTGATAATAGTGCATAGTAGTGTTGAGTTAATATTCGATTTAATTTAATTCCACTTTGGCCCGTAAGAATGTTAACATTCATCGTGAATTATGCTATCCGGAAGAATACATAGTGGAATGATAGAAGTTAACCACATAAAATCCAAGGAATAGAAATATTGTCTTGGAGTTTATGTTTACATTCAAGTAGTTAATTTAATTGGATTGGTCGAGAGATTTAGGGAACTAAACCCTTATCAGTCAAATTTCCTTAGACCACTGGAAGGGGATAAGGTATAGTCCAACCCCTCTTTGACAGTAACTTCTAATTACTTGTTCAAATTTCATAACTTTAGGCTTAGTTAAAACTCTAATTTGCATTTTGAACATTTCTAGTGTGGACCGATAATAGCAGGCTAGAATCTTTTCTTCATTAAGATTTCCCCGTTTCACGTGGGGCCAACAATTTGACTAAAACTCGATACTATTAATATGCCAAATATATTTACATGAACAACCCGATATAAGATATTCTGACATTAACAAGGAACATTTTCATGTAAATTTTGAAACGATATTTACTTTTGCCTTCACAGATTTTATAGCAAGGTAAATTTACGTCGTGGAGTGAGGCACCTAAGCTAATCAGTTCAATCTCGACCCCACCATAAGGTGTCAACATTTATGAGATAATTCTTTTGTACTTAGAATTTTTTTTTTTTAACGTTGATGATCAACCACATAGTCTGACCAAAGGGCGGACCCCCTTTCAGAAGAATGTGCAATTCTTATGTATTTACATATATAACAATTAAATTCAATTTTATACATTTATATAAAATCACTATTTTAATTCTTAAAAAAATGAAGTACATCTTTCATATGTAAAGAAGATGCATATATATATATATATTATATATATATATATATATATCTTAAAGTTTAGCTGTTAGGTGAGTAAATATTCCTATTTATAACTGAATATTTATAATTTAAAAAGTAGCTAAAAAACTGATTGTTTGATAAATAAACATATGAACTTTTAATTATTAAAAATATAACATTTAAAAACACATTTAAATTACTATTACAATATTATATTTTAAACTAAAAAAGCTAAATATTAATTATAAAAGTTAAATAATATAAATTAAACTTATGTAAAATAATTCATATGATCATGTATTTATCATATTATTTCTTAAAATAAAGATGCACATTTGAATGTTTTAATTTAAAGAAGTTAAAATACATAATATTATAGATTGTTAATTTAAAATTTAAAAAATATATATTCTGTAAAGCTAAAAAATATATATATAAATATAAAAAGAAAATAAAATTAGTATTTTTTTACAAAAAATTTATATGTCGGTGCATTGTAGATTGTTAACGAACCCAAATGATGGAAGAAGACCCGGGTTAGGCTGCATCGAATAAACCAAGCCGCCTGGGGACGACCAGTCAAACACACGAGGTTTGACCATCGCCGGTCACTTTTCCTCCTCTTTCACAATCCTATTTCCTCCCATCTGCTTCCCATCAACTCTCTTTAAAGCCCCAACCCTCGTCTCCCTCATCCTCCTTCATCCTGTTCTTTGTTTCCATGTCTTCCTCTGCCGGGAGCTTCGAGGCCTCTTCAGCGGCCTTCTCCTTCTCTTCTTCCCACGCAACATCGTTCTCAGAGCTGCTCGCCGGCTCCGGCGGCGCCACCGCTGCCGACGAGACTTCGAAGCCGGCGAGAGGATTTAGTAACAGGGGAGGAGGAGGAATACCTAAGTTCAAGTCCATACCCCCTCCCCAACTTCCCCTCTCTCCTCCTCCCATCTCTCCTTCCTCTTACTTTGCCATCCCCGCCGGACTCAGCCCCGCCGAGCTCCTCGACTCGCCGGTTCTCATCTCTTCTAATAACGTAAGCAGAAAGAACAAAAAGAAGAAAAAGATACTTCTTTTATTGAAAGATTTGAAATTCGTTTGAGCTCAGATGATGGATTTAACTCTGTTTTTTTTTTTCTTTTAATGTTTTTTGTAGCGGATTCTTCCTTCTCCAACCACTGGAACTTTTCCTCCAAAAGCTTTTAACTGGATAGGCGATTCTGGTAACCGATATCAGGACAGAAAAGAAGATAACAGAGATTGGTCTAATTTCTCCTTCCAAACACAGCAGGTAATAAAAATCTCACTTTGTGACATGATTAAAAGCTTGAATCAAACAAAATTGTGCTAAAGCCCTGCCCTTTTCTAGAAACTGAACGTTTTCAAGGGAAGCCAACAACCATGGAACTACCAAGAACCCAGCATCAAAACTGAACTTTCAGCACCAACCATCCAAGCCAATAACACTAGTAAAGAGCTGAAAAAGTCTGATGACGGATATAACTGGAGAAAGTATGGGCAAAAGCAAGTAAAAGGGAGCGAGAATCCTCGGAGCTATTACAAGTGCACGTTTCCCAATTGCCCCACGAAGAAGAAGGTTGAAAAAAACCTCGAAGGCCAAATCACAGAGATAGTCTACAAAGGCTCTCATAACCATCCCAAGCCTCAATCTACTCGAAGGAACTCTTCTTCATCTTCCGCTCAATCACTTCAACCGCTGCTCGCCTCTGCTGCAGCTTCGGAAGCTTCAGAGCACTCCCATGGCGGCCGGTCAGGGACAGCGATGGAATCAGTGGCTACGCCAGATAATTCATCGGTATCTTTCGGTGAGGATGAAGTTGGTATGAGCATTCAAAGGAGTAATCTTGCAGTAGATGATTTCGAGGTGGAGGAGCCTGAGGCTAAGAGATGGTAAGTAACTTCTGAATTTGAAACCAAAATTCGAGCTTTAGAACGCAGTGGATTAAAAGTTTGAAATTTGCTGTAACAGGAAGATGGAAGGAGGAAACGAAGGGGCGGCGTTGGCCGGAAACAAGACGGTGAGGGAGCCTAGAGTTGTGGTGCAGACGACGAGCGATATAGATATTCTTGATGATGGCTATCGATGGAGAAAGTATGGGCAGAAGGTTGTGAAGGGGAATCCAAATCCAAGGTATTCATTACTTAGAATTAACATTGTGGTATATATGTAAAATTTTCTAACCTTCAAATTTTCATATTTATATTTAAAATATCATTTTTATTATTATTGTGTTTTAAAATATATATAGATATATAACTTTTCATTCATAATTTTATGGCACCTACTAATATAAATTTCAAATTTAAAATGTTAGATATGTAAATATAAATCAATAATGCGGTATATATGTAAATTTTTCTAAATCATAATTAAGATAATTTGGTAAAATGTATTTTCAGAAAATTTGTATCTAGAAGATGTTTGATAGTTATCTGCTTATATTGTACTTGATGTGATACTTCATGGAAATTGCTGTGCATTTGACTCAATATTCAAATAATATAACATTTGAATGGTATTTATCATTCTTGCCGTCCAATTATATTTTTCCACTCTATTACTGCTATGTAAGCTTTCATACTCCTTTTCTTTTGACGCGTAGATAAAGCTGTCGTTTATGTAACAATGGAAGTTTGGGTGTTAGATATGTAAATACATAGGAATGAAGTGGGTATATATGTAAATCATGCATTTTCTTTTTATTTTTGTAATCTTAATAAACCTTCTTTGTTTCAAATTACAGAAGCTATTACAAGTGCACAACAGTGGGATGCCCTGTTCGTAAACATATTGAGAGAGCATCCTATGACTTGAGGGCCGTCATCACCACCTACGAAGGCAAGCACAATCACGACATCCCCGCCGCTCGCGGTGGGAGCCATTCGGCAAATCAGCCGCCGCCGCCGCCGCAGCAGAATCATCTGGCCATCTCAACAACAATCCGGCCATCGCCGGCGATCATCGCGAACTCTCTTTTCGGCCAAAGAGTTGATGCTTTTCAACACTCACACTCACCATTTCCAACGCTGGAAATGTTACCCAACCAGAGCAACTATGTTGATGGCTTTTCAGGATTTGAAAATTCTGCTAGTTCTTATGTGAATCAACAGCAGAAGCAGATGGGGAATTTGTTCCCTGTGGCGAAGGAGGAGCCGAGGGATGATTTGTTCTTTGAGTCGCTTTTGTGCTGACTGCTAAAAATTACACAGACAAATATCTATATATATAAATCCTGTAGATGTTTATAAGTAGGTTGAAATTTACAGAAAATAAGTGGGAGCGATGATTACTGATTTTAATATTTGTTTGTTTGGTTTTTTATTTTCATGTTTTGTAAATAGGAAATTATATATATATATATATATATATATATATAAGATGGAGGATGGGAAAATCATTGTTTGTTCATTTGTTAATCTGTTCACCAGCTAGCAACTTGAAGGAATGCGCGAGGAAAACATTTGTATTTTTTATTTAGATTTTTTTTTATATATTTATTTTTTTAATGAAATAAAATTGTGTTAGTATGGTCATGGTTATTTTCGGAGAAACAAAGGCTGTATTACTATTTCAATTTCATATTACTTTGGTTAAACTTGAGTTTGAGATAGCTAAAAGATAAAATTTTCATTTTTTTTTAATTAAGAATTTTATATTGTAATTTCTTAAAATATTGAATATAACCATCTGAATTTTAAATATAATATTTAATTATTTAAAAAATGAGAGAATATCAGCGTTCGCTTTGCCAAAAAAAATTGTAACGCTCTCTTTGAAATAAAAATTTCAGGTCTAATGAAATGTAATCCGAACAATCTGAGTATCTACGCACAGATTTCTATTTTAGGAAGAGGTCAACGTTGATGATGTTAAAGTACAGCTTCATAGAGCTACTTGCATCTGAAAATTGATTCTCATTTTATGGAGAAAATATGCGGGCTTGGATTCTGAATGTAGTTTTGCGTCCAGATTCTGATGGTAATGTGTCGCTTGTTTGCCTAGTTGGATCCACTTTATTTGATTAAAAAAAATAAAAATGTGGTTTTTGTTGGTGAGTGGGCATGACCGAAACTAACTGGATGAATGAAAAAATTGTCCCAATCAAAAATTTGCTCCATGCCTATATGTTTATTTTTTGCTCTAGAGTTATCCATTCATTTTTCGAATAGGGCTTAGGTGATTGCCCTCGAAGTAGCTCAGGTTTTCGAAGGCCAAGCTTATGTTTTGACAAAGGTTTGTGTATTGTGGCATCAACAAATCCTTTATTCTGTTGGTTTTCAAAACCAAATTTTAAACGCCAACAAAAAATAGAGGAATTTTTTTAGTTGTTCATTCGCTCTACATTTTCTGGTTTAATTTATAAGCAAATACATCACATTTTTCTGAAAATAAAACTAACTAACCACTTAACGGTTTTCCTAACCACCTAACCACAAAACGGTTTTCAAAACTTCCTAATCCACATGAAAAATGTGCAAAAATACATAAACAATTTCTAGAGACAACTAGATTAACACAACAATCTCCTCAAGCTTGTTGTCCTTCACTGACGATTCGCACACCAATTTTTTCTCTCATCTCCAAGAACTTCAATCTTGCAAGTGACTTTGTCAGAATATCAGCACGTTGATCTTCTGTGCAAACATGTTGAATTTCAATCATTCTAGATTCAACACAATCTCTAATGTAGTGAAATCGGGTATCGATATGTTTGCTCCTCTCATGGTAAACTGAATTCTTGCTTAATGCAATTGCGGACTGATTATCAATCTTCAGAACTACTTTCTTAACTTCAGTTTTTAACAAATCTGCCAATAGTCGTC